GAGCTCGGTTGAGGATACTATCCTGAAAAGATCATGGTTCGAGTATCGACAAAACGCGGAAACCGAGAAATGGGCAGCAAAGCTTGCCTTGCTAGGATCGTATGGAGCTTCCTTGCTAGGAATTTCTAACACTGCTGGTATAGATGCCGTGTGCTGATCAACCTAAAAAGGAAAAAATGTCAATCATAAGCACAAAGATCTCGCTAACTAATGAGAACAGTTTTAATAATGACAAAACATATATGGATTATTCCAATACGGTTTGCAATCTAGGTAACAAAATGAGCAGCAAAATCGATACTCAATGAAATTTTGAGGGGAGCTTCCAAGAAACAGTTCAGATCTCGTTGCGTGCGGGCCGTATGACGAACAAACAAGGCACGTAAGTTTCGAAACTTCGCTAGGGCTGTTTTCGTACTTTTCGGTACCTACCGTTTTGCGCGGAAAGGAGAGTATGGGTACTGACTAGGGTTCGGAAGGAACGCCAGCGTTTTGAACGCTCCGGTCGAGAAGGAAAGTATACGTATTGACCTAGCTTTTGAACTCGTTAAGGTTTTGCTGGCTTTTCGTTGAAACGCTCACTTTTTTCCAGAACGCTGGCGTTTCTCCCGAACCACTGGATCAAAATCTAAATATACTTCACGCCCGAGAGGCTTAAAGCGCTTATGAAAAGTATGATCAGTACGCAGCTCAAAGCAGTATTTGAGAAAGGAGGAAAACACCACAGATGGCAGTAGCAATGTAAAAGCTGTAAATGTACGTGGGACTGCGTTTGATTTGGTTAAGCAATGAAAGCTAATTCGTCAGACGATGTGGAAGTATTGGGAGATTGGAGCTGGTTAGAAGAACTTACCACATATCTGATCATTTCCGCAATGTGTTGATTAATAAGGATGATGGCAATATCGTCGCGAGCAACAAACGACCTGAAGGCCTCTTCAATTTCTTGAACTCCAGTATGCTTATCCACAATCAAATAGTTCGGCTTCCTCGCCTAAAAATCATGAACGTCTGCTTTCAGCTCAAGAATTCATCAGACCAATAATGCTAATAATTTACACCGACATATTATATTCAAAGGCACACTATGTGCGAAACTGCGGACAATGGCGTCCAAACGGGAAATGCTAAGTGGTGCGATTGTACAGGAAAGGCAGAAAAAGGTCAGAAATTTTTAAATAAGACACCGGTTGTTCCGAGCATTATAGGAACACAAAGGGAATAGAGCCTGTGTCAAATTGAATCCTAGCGCGCGATATCAGCTGTTCCCTCCATTATAAGGATCTTTATCATGTTCTAACGTATCCTGTCCCATCGAGTTAATCGCAACTGCATAATGAGAGAGAATCTCCAGCTCGAGGTGGAAGGCTGGCCACGTCACAAGGTGCAGGCGCCTTTTCATGTGGCGAGAGCGGTATTGCCTTATTTGAGGAAAGACGACCGTTAACCAAACGTATATTGTGCCCCTAATAAACGAGAGAACGTCGTGAGGCTTCAAATGGAACAAGAAATTGTCCACGCACACGCATGTAGCTGTCTGGCGTCACGCTTCATTTAGAATCATCTTTTCGTTTACAAAAGAGAGACATGAGTGTGGCGCACTTTGGGCTGCGTTCATACTTTGCGTCAGCGTACGCCAGCATACAGCAGCGTTTCGAGTGTACGCCAGCGACCAGGAAAGTGAAGACATCAAAATGGCGTAAGCCAGCGATTAGAAAAGTGTGGAATATCGATGTAGCGCACGCCACCGTTTTCGCGGGCAGTTTTGCTAACGCTAGCGCCCGCATCGATATTCCTAGTCGCTGGCATACACCAGATAGATATCTATACTTTTCCAGTCGCTGACGCTGGCGTACGCTCGAAACGCTGCCACACGCAGAGGCAGGCCTATGGGATTGTTGAATGCTGTGTGGATGCTACATAATAGGGCCAGTTTTATCTGATAACTGTTCAACATCAAACTTTGAGCGTTAAGAAGTTTATAAAAAGTTGAACGTCTGAATCCAACGGATTCAGGGAAAAGTGAATGAAAGAAAGTTCGCTCACGGCCAGTATCAAACTTAAAGAGGACCTTCTGGTTATCTACTGATTCAGCAAAGAGGTGCTAGTATAGCCTTGTTCGTTGCGGATGAAGGGTGTGTCAGCGCTGCAGCGTTTGGCGCAGCGCCAGTCAGCCCTCTATATTTTCCTTTCGGCGAACAACATAACTGTTTTCCACTATTGCGGGGCGTCAAACGCAGCCGCGCGGACACGCCTCATCACACCCAGCGATCCAGATTATTTTAGAGGAAGACTTCAGAAAAGAAATAGTTACAAAAAAGATCTGGAGAACTATAAAATATGAACTACCTTATTTAGCTCTCCAACTCCACCAAGAAGGAATCCTACCACAGTGTCCTCATCTCCTATGACAGCAAGGATTTTTCCTTTCGCTGCTGCGGCCATTACTGAAAAAATGACAATGAGAAATGAACGCAACCTAATATACGAATAACTGCCAATACCGGAACAGCACAGTCAAAAAACACGCATACACAGATGAACGACCCATAAGAGCGGGGATGTACGGGGGGGGGGGCTCCAAAAAAGACACTTTGTTAATAAAGAGTCCTCAAGCTCTTTCCGCGACAGACGAGGTAAGTAGGTGTTCCAACACGTCTCGAGCTCGACGACGATGACGGATGGCATCAGCTTACCATGACCGCTGGGGTTGAGGTAAAGTGCTTGCTCCTGTTTCTCGAGGAGGAATGGAAAAAAAAGAAAAAGTTTAGGAACATTTTTATATGGATTCTTCAGGTACCTGGAATCTGCACGAAGCATGCTTTAATTGTGCATTCCAAGAGTGAAGCCTTTTTTAGTGCCCCTGCACAGAGCATATGTTCGTTCTAGTAAGTACAAGTGTCTAAACCATTAAAAATGCAATGACATAACTCTATAGAGAAACCAGTATCTCTAATATATGGGTTGCTGCGATAACAACCTGACATCTGAGAATTTTCATTCTTCCTAATCCTTTTTTACAATCTTGGGACATATATAGAACTGGAAACTAAGTACAAACAAAAGGAGTGTATTATGACAACCCTACAGCTAATAGAAATCCGCGAACCTCAAACATAACACATCCAAGGAATTTTCAGATACCTTTTAACTCGTCCAAATGAAAGGTAAAAGATCATCTTTGGAATCAGCTGGGAGAGTGCGAGACAATCGATGTGGGACCCGCAGCGTTGCGGAAAGTGCCGTCGATCATCGAATATGTGGTGAACACACGTACACCACGCTTCTGCTACGTCAACATCGACTACGCTGCTCGGACTGATCGCACAGGGTCGGGTATCACGTTCAGGAGAATGGGGCCGCCTGTACGACTCCCCCTCCCCCAATCCCACCAGAGAAAGTGAGCGTTGGTGCGACCCTTTACCAGCTGAAAAAGAGAATGTGGCTTTATTCAACTATTACCACCCCCTCTTCCGAAAGGAGACCAGTTGTTGACGGATCTTTCGTCTCAGGGCACTTGTCAACCGAGGAAGCCTCTCCTCTCTTTCATTTTTTCTTCCTCCTTCCTTCTTTTCCTTCCTTCCTTCTCTCTGATCCCTCCTCCTTTACCTTCTCCCTTCAACTACTGGACTGGTAGATGCCTCGTGAAAATACCCCTGGACCCTCGCAGCGAGAGCACGTCTGGTTGACAACAGCCCCGCCCTAGGTAGTTCGACCTCCTGAACACGGATTTCATATTCGCTAGTGGAGGAGGTCTTTCGGCTTCACTTCGAAATTAACGACGCAATTTTTTTGAAAACGCAAGTTTTCGACCTTTGAAGCACCATAATCTTAGTGATATGGAGCCGGGCCAAAATCAAAACACGGTAGTGGAAAGTAGCGAATTTTCTTCGTTCGTTAAATTGTTACGATATCGAATATTGAAGTCCATTATTCAAGAACACCCTGATGGTTTCTTCCCGGCTCGGGCAAGATATCGTAGGCGTGCAAGGTGTCGCGTTAAGAGACATCTCGTTTCGTTCGTAGCTTTGTTCGCACAGGACTTTCGAAGAAGTGGTACGAAACTTGCTGAACAACCAACAAAAATTCGCGACGTTCTTTAGAGTCATCCAATCTTGTTACGTGTCACTTACCTGAGAAGGATAATAAGTGTTCTCACTAATTTTGAGTAGTCCAAGGTAACACGTAGCTCCGCCTTCAAAGACATTTGGCACGATAATTCCTAAGACGAGTAGGATTAACACGCCTGGCAGGACGAGATTCCGCGCCCCTGGTAGACGCTGCGTAGTGCTTTTTCCGAGTGAGGTACCCCTAAACAAGGGGGGGGGGGAGGGAGGACGGCGGCGTCCGCGCTCCTGCGTTTGGCACACAGGCCCATTCCCTAGCAGTTGTTTAAGCTTGAAATGACAGCAACTGATGAAAAACGACTGACAGAACGACATGATACAGTCCTGTCGCATGCCGAAAGAAAAAAGTAACAAAAAAGGGTTGGCGAGTCGACATACGCAACCGCACGGTCGCCCCATCCTCCGCAGCGAAACAGACTAGACATGCAGCCCTTCTCGCCTATCAGGCTAAGGCATTGGTCACAGTCTGCGGCCCCGCGTTTCTCTGGAGAGAAACGCTTCAGCGAAAAGCTTTCGATACGTATCGATTGGCGGTTGGGCGAAAGGGTTTTGATACGAATCGACGGGCGTTTCGCCAAACCGCGGCGTTCGCGAAACGCTAGCTCGATCGCCCTGGCGTTTTTCGCCAGCGAAATCGATACGCATCTATTGCTTTTCGCCCAACCGCCGAACCGCGGCGGTTCGGCGAAACTAGCGGTTGGCGATTCTCCGATCAATCCCTATTTTTTGCTTTTCGCCCAACCGCCGTTTCGTCAGGGTCGCAGACAGTGAACAATGCCTGCGCTCTCACGATGTCTCAGCTTTGTTGATTACTCAATCCTCCAAATGGGAACTCCTGTTCTTTTTAGCAAGACTGGTATGACCCCTTCGGAATGACACCACAAAACTCTTTCGCCGAGTAGTTGCGAATTAGTTTACTGCGTAGCGATCACCCCATATATATAATTCGCTTCGTCTGTTTGTTTGTTTGTTTGTTTGTAAGTTTGTCTGTCCGGAAATTCGGTTCGACCTGAAGAACGACTTGGAGAGGAG